TCTGGTTCCCCTTTCCCTTCTCTTCTTTTTTCTGTACTGGGGATTCAACCTGGGTGGGGCCTTGCCCATGTGAGGCAAGTGGTCTACCACTGAGCCACCTCCTCAGCCGCTTTTTATTTTTATTTGGAGAAGGGATCTCATTAAATTGTCAAAGGTGGCTTCAAGTTTGTGATTCCCCTGCCACGGTCTCCTGAGTAGCTGGGTTACAGGCATGTGCCACCAGGCCTGGTTATAAGCCTCTATTTCTGCTCTTGCCCTGTGCATATTGCAAGGTCTAGGTCAAGGTGGAGGCATCTGAATCTGCAGCACTCACAGTTCAGGCTTCCGCGTGGTGCTCTCCTTCCTGAATTATGTTGTAAGTGTGAGGCTTGTTTTTTATGTCTCCCTCACTAGACTATAAGCTATGTGAGAACAGGGATCTTTCTCTTGTCACTGGTAAAATGGGTCTGTACCCATCACTCCTTCTGGGGCACAGCACACAGGGCCCATGCAGCAGCGAGCACACCGCACACGGTGAGTGTTCATCCTTGTTGTTACTTTGGGCCAGGCTGGCACCACCCCACCCCCATGCAGGGGACAGGCTCTGGGCTACAACAGCAGATAAATGAACAGCTGAGCACACAAGAACCTGTGTCCTCCCAGCACTTGGGCTTGAATTCTTTTTTTTTTTTTTTTGGTAGTGGGGATTGAACTCAGCACCTTGCACTTGCAAGACAGGTGCAGTGCCACTGAGCTAAACCCCCAAGCCTTGGGCTTGAATTCTTTCTGCCTGAAACCTGAGTGGGGCCAAGGAGTTACTGAGTTCTCACCACATCCCTGGAGGTCAATGGGTGTCATCAAATCTTGAGACCCAACTGCTCCCAGTAAGGCAGCATGAGCTGATTGGTATTTTAAGACGGTTCCTCTAGATGCTGAGGGGAGTTGGGTTGGGAGAAGGGGTGAAGATGGATGTAGGAGAACCAGGAGGGGGCAGCTCAAGAAGACTGAGGGAGGGGGGCTTGGGCAGGGATGGAGAGGAGACAGGGAGGCAAATGAACTGGTTCTGGGCCCATCAAGCAAGTTGATCTGAGGGCTTCTTGAGCCTGAGGTGTGGCTCAAGGAATGAGGTTGAGACCTGGCTTCTAGAACTGACAGATGGAGGATGCCAGAGGGAAATCAGGTTGGGGGAAAGGTTCCTGAATTCAGATTTGGACAAGTTGCACTTAAGTGGCCACCCAGACATCCAAGAATTAGCTCCAGGTTTGAGTCCCTGAGCACATAGTGCCAGTTTTATCAGGGCAAATCTCCTTACTCTGCTGAGCCTCAGTTTCTCCACCTGCCAAATGGGATTGTGAGGACCCTATGTGAGAATCTATACAAATTGTTCATCCCAGGCCCAGGCATTCTGCAGAGAAAGTAGTGTTCTTATTTCTTAGCACTCTGTGAGAAGCAACACACATACAAGGAAAACTGGTTTAAGCAGAAATTTATTGTTCCCATCACTGTACATTGCAGGGAGTCAGTACAGCTTCCCTCCAGCTGTAGATGGAGCTCACGTATTGCCAGAGGGGCTCCATATCTTTGCGGCTTCATATCTTTCTCAGGCACCTTCTACAGGAGTTCACAGGGGCCATCAGCTCAGCAAATGCAGCTAGTGGGGTCTTTTGCTATATTTTCAGCACAAAAGTTTTAAGGAAAACTCTGATTGGCCCAGATGGGTCATGTGCCTATCCAAAAGCCAATCAGTATGGCCAGGTCTAGGTCACATGACTTCCTTCTTCCTGCAGATAGAAGCAGGCGGGCAAAACCCCCTGCAGTGCGTCCCGCCCATTTTTTTGAATGGAAGTTTCAGTATACAAAGAGGTGTGAATGTAGATTCTGGTGCATGATAGAAACACAGTTCACCATGGTTGGTTTTCATTGAAATTCTGGAGGTGAAACTCCTGATTAGTCCTCTGTCTGCATATTTGAAAGTCCTTTATTGCTGGGCACCGCGGCACTTGCCTCTAGTCCCAGCTGCTTGGGAGGCTGAGGCAGGAGGATAGCTCGAGCCCAGGAGTAGAGTCCTTTACGAATGCGGCCCTCGCCCCAATACGCCAGTTCAATGGCGTCCAGTTTCCTCCGCTTCCTCCACATAGTCCCACCAAGCTTGGGAGGTGGGCATGAGCAGTCAGTCTTGAGGCGCTCCGACATCTCTTGCGCCACCACACGGCACACCATGAACAGGTCCTGAGCATCTCTGTCGAGACAGGGACTCCCTGTTTCCCTGGGGGGATTCCAGGCCCTCTGGTGTCTCTCTTCAGCCAGATCAAGAGAACAGGTTCCGGAGAGTTAGACAAAGAGTTAGACCTTTATGGTACATGATACCAGCCAGAAAATTCTGAAAACCCCAGGTAAACTGCGCTGTGGACGCTCCTTTCTGCCACCTGCTTCTGATTGGAGCAGCCCGCGAACTCCCTGCCAATCAGCAGCCACCCTGTGCAACCTGGAACTTTACAGCTTAGCAACAAGAAATCTGGAAGAACTCTGGAATTAATTTAAGGAAAGGGGAAGAAAAACAGTAAGAAAGGAATTAGCAGCCAAGTAATCAGGCTGCGGGTTTTTATTGTTACCTTTGTGACCAAGACAAGTAATGAACATTTTCAGCATTAATTATCAGCAGGGCGGAAGCTAGTGAGCTATATGTACTCAAAACTCTGAGGCTAATGTTTTCTTTTTTATTTTCTTTCCCTCCTAAGCCATTGCTGGGCTAAGGATGTGAACAGAGCTAAGAGGGAGCTGACAGAACAGGTACAATAATTAAGGAATAGGGCCGGGGATTTAGCTCAGTGGTGCCTCCGCCTGCCTCGAAACCGCAAGCTCCTAAATTCGATCCCCGGTACCAAAATAGTATTTATTTTTAATTTAATTTAAATTTAATTTAATATTTATTTTAATTTAATAATAATGATAGTTATTATTATTATTAAGGGAAACCCACCTGGATTCTGGCTGCCACTCTTATTGCTCCAGGAGTCTCCTGCCAGTCTTTCTCTGGAGTCCCCCTCTCTCCGGGACATCACAGAGACCTGCCTGTCTGAAAAGGGAGCAGGAGGTCCCAAGGGCTGTGGAGGGTTTGTGATCTCAGATGGAACCCTGGCTAGAGGTGACAATGGCAGTGACATTTATGCAACCGTCCTATGATATTGAGCCCCCTTCACGTGTCACCAGGGTCACCTTTGCCACCAGTCTAGCCAGGGCTGGGGGAGATGGAATATTAGTAATGAGTTAATTAGACCAAGGGAGACGAGATGACAATTGTGCTGACACACTCAGAGAGGAGGGACTGTGGGGAGGGAGGCTGCAGTTAGTACAGCTTGCTTTATCCTGGCCTCGCTTGGAACTTTTAGGACTTAGGTTGACTTCACAAGGGAGACAGCCAGGGCCGGGGAAGAAGCCCACTCAGGTTTCCTGGGCCTGCAGAGTTCTTCTTAACGTGATGGGCACGAGAACCATGGAGGTCTGTAAACTACAGCAGGGTGATTAGGGTGACGGTTTGGAAGAGCAGTTGTCTGCTGGGGCGGAACAGAAGGGAGGGAGGCTGGGCCACGGGCCACTTCTGAGGCCACCCAGGCGCCACGTGGGCAGTCCCTCGGGGACCAGGCATGAAGCCCCACGGCTCACCAGCTCCACCAGAGCCTTGTTTCTTGGAAAACATCCACTTTGACGCCCCTGGTCTGTGGGGCAGAGAGAAAATAAAGCCCCCCATCCCATGGGAGGGTAGCCCCGAATCGTCCTGGTGTAGTGCCCCCAATCCTCAATCCCAGAAGTCCTCAGTCCCAGGGAAGCTGGCGTGGTTGTCTCCGCTCCTACTCAGGGACAGGATTAATTGGAGCGGTAGGAGCCGGCTTCCCTGCTGCATCCTCGTACTTTCTTTCCAAGGAGCGGTGATTCACTGTGTTGCCTCAGGCCTCTCTGGGCTACTTTTCTTCATTTGCAAAGTAAAGTTGGACCTGGGGAGATTTTAACCTCCTGGCACTATGATGTCCTCCTGTTTCAAAGCTTAAGCAGCGAGCAGAGCCTGAGCACAGAAGGCGGGGCCTTGTGGAAGCTTCCTCTGCTCTCCGCGCCCAGCCCCGCGTCGTCCTCAGCAGATGAGAGGAGCTGTCCTGACCTCCCGGAAACGGAATCTTGAGCACTGCGTATTCTGCGCATTTTCCATCGCTACACACTGAGTTGTCAAAAAGCATGGCAATTCTGGCACGTGAAAGTAGGATTGGGAGTTAGGGTTTCTCCTATGTAGCGACTGCCAGTTTTTCTAAACGTTGGGGTAGGACCAAGCACCCTTGCTTCTCCAGTTCTACACCGTGTACATTATCACAGCACTTGAACTGTCCTGAAATCACCCTTCACCACCAACAGTCTAGTTCCAGGAAGTGGAGACTGGGTCCTTTTTGCCACTATCCCTCCCATAATAACAATTTATTGAGTTAGTTGAGGTCCAGTTATACCCATTTTACAGACAAGGAAACTGAGGCACATGGGGGCTAAAGTTCTTCTGTTAAGTGGTGGAGTCAGAATTTGAACCTGGATCTGATTCAGGGTCTATTCTCTCCACCAATTGACCACTGCTTCCTTAGGGGCTGCAGGGGGAAGGCAAGAATGAGGGGGATGGGGCACAGAGAGGCTGCTCAGCTGGGGGGTCCCCTATGAAAATCCCAAAGGGAGCAGCTCTGTGCATCCTGGCACAGCACTGGCAACCTGGCCTGGCCTGACCCTAGTGTGGATGGAGACTTCTGGATGTTGGTTGCCATGGAGATGGGATGGGCTGCTTGAAGGTATAACCCAAGCCTGCTCCTCAGGCTGGTCGCAGAGATGCTAGCAGTGGGGTGGACAGTATCTAGAAATAAAAGGGGAGGGAGGGTTGGGTATTTAGCTCAGTGTTTCTATGCCTGCCTCACAAGCGCAAGGTCCTGAGTTCGATCCCCTGGTACCAAAAAGAAAAAGAAAAGAAAAGGGCAAGGAAAGCCTGATTTTCCTTCTTTTTTTTTTTTATTATGAAAAGCTTCAAGCACACATAGGAATAGAGCATCTGGTACCGCAAAGCCAGCTACAGCAGTCACTAACCCTGGGCCAATCTTGTTCCATGGCACTTCCTTCCCCTTCATAAGGAAATCCAGATATCAATCATTTCTTTGGCAAATATTTCCAAAGATAACTCCCAAGAAAGAAGTAGGGTATTTTTTGTTTCGTTTTGTTGGAGACACTGTCTTGCTAAGTTGCCCGGGATGGGCTCAAACCTGAGACTCACATGTGTCGGCCTCCCAGAGTGCTGGGATTACAGGTGTGTGCCACCATGCCCAGCTGATAATTAGGTTTTGGGGGTTTTTTACTACCATTACCACTATTGAAATTAACAGTAAAGGGGGCTGGGAATTTAGCTCAGTGGTTCCAGTGCCTGCTTCGAAAGTGCAAGGTCCTGAGTTTGATCCCTGGTACCAAAAAAAACCCCACAAAAAACAGTAAATCTTTTAATATCAGCAAATACTATATCTGGTCAGGATTCACATTTATCTAGCTTTCTTTTAAATGTTTTCTCACAACTGGGTAAGATCAGGATGCAAATAAAGCTCATATATTGTGATTGGTTGCTGTGTCTCGTACACCTCTCTTTCATCTTCCTTTCTCTTTCCCTACAGTTTACTGAAGAAACTGGGTTGGATGCTCTATGATGTGTCCTATAGTCTGGATTTTGCTTATTGCATCCTCATAAAGGTGTTATATCTGCTCCTCTCCCTCCTGTATTGCTAGTTCAATCTGGAAGCTCACAAAGATGCATTTTTTTGTCTGCTTCCTAGTAGCTGATTTGGAGGTCAAGACCTGATTTTCCTCTGTGATGTTAGCTGCTGCTGATCACTGTCCAGACCTGTCACTCCCCTAGAGACTAAAAACCAGTGGCATCCTAATCTCTGTCTGTCTTGGTTAGTGGAAATACTTCTATAAAGCATACCATTTTATCCATCGCTTGGCTTCCATAGAGTATGGGTCATCCAAAAAGGACAAATGCTAGATTCTTTTTTTTTTTTTTTTTGGTACTGAGGATCGAACTTGGGACCTTGCACTTGCAAGGCAGGCAGTGGAACCACAGAGCTAAATCCTCGGCCCAAATGCTAGATTCTTTTCCTTTGACAGTTTCCAAAATGCAGGCTTGGTGATGAGTAAGTTTATGTTTTTCTTGTGCTCCAGCATCATGGTGAACTCATTGTTTGGACATGAAGTTGAAATGTTTAATACACTGTAATTATTATTATTATTATTTGGTTTGCATTATTATTATTATTATTATTATCATTATTTGGTTCAACTATGGGTTGAACCCAGGGCCTTTGCACTGAGCTACATGTGTAGCCCTTTTATAATATTTTTTATTTTGAGACAGAGTCTTAAGTTGTTAAATTACCTAGGCTGGGGTCAAACTTGTAATCCTCCTGCGTCAGCCTCCCAGAGTGCCACCACATCTGGCTATAGTTAGTATTCCTAATAATGCTCAAATTGTCATTTTTGGCCAATGAGAATCTTTTCATGCTGTCTCCTGCATCCTTTCAGATGTGACTCCAGCAGTTGAAACAGCTTTCCTGCTTCCCAGTGACAAGATAGTCAAGGCTCAGCTGGGTGTGGTGTCGCAGGCCTGTAAATCCCAGCACTCAGGAGCTGGAGGCAGGAGGACTGCCGTGAATTTGAGGCCACCCTGGGCTCCGGAGTCAGTTCGAAGCCAGCCTAAACTATAAAGGAAGGAAGGCCCTGGCTCAAAAGCCAAACAAACAAACAAACAAAGACATCTCAGGCTCACTGGAACATTTCTTGGCTCAGATGTGGAATTGGCCATTTGCCCAGGGGGCCTTGAATGCTGATTAAAAGAGGTGTTTAGGGACCGTACCCTGGTGCTGGGTCCTCGCTGTGACTGGTCGTGGTCTCTAACCTCAGTGGACAGAACCTGCAACCCCATGCTCCACTTTATAAAGTGAGAGAGAGAGTGCCTGCGTTCCTCCTGATGCTGCTAATTCAATTTGGAGCTACAGGGTTCTCACGTCATCTCCATGATATATCTAGCTTCTTCCATGACAGTGTAACAAAGGCTATTCTACAAGCAAAGGTCCCCCCACCCCATTCCATGACTGTAATCCCAGCACTTGGGAGACTGAGGGAGGAGGATCAGCATGAGTTCAAGGCCAGCCTGAATTACATAGTGAGACCTTGTCTCAAACAAAAATAAAAACAACCCGAAAGATCCAGGTAATTTTAACACGCAGCCTGGCTGAGGGTCCCTGGTGCGGGAGAAGGAAGTAAGGGGTGGCAGACAAGCTTTACGGTCAAAGCCCATTAACTAGGGCTTTGAATTCTGAAGCTGCCCATTTCTTGCCATGAAATCTCTGGATCTATAGAACCAACCTCGGAGCAATAGATCTATAATCATCAAAACGAGTTATATGCACACCATCCAATATGGTGGCCACCAGCCCCCCAGTCTGGCAGGGTTGGCACTTGAACTCATTGCTCATGCACCCCAAAGGGTGCGTTTTCAGACGCAATCAACTTGACCTAATTGACACGAATAGTCACGTGTGGCTTAGAGGGCCTTGCTCTAAAAAATTCCCTCATGTCTCATGTCTTCCCATGTAAAACGGAATAGTGAGGGTTATTTCACTGGGAAATGGAGGGGGTCAGAGCAAATGTATATAAGCCACCTGCTGTACACATGGCACTCAGTAAAATGCTGCTTATTTTCTTTATTAACATCAACCTGCTGCTCTTTAAAACAAACCAAAAAAAAGCTTGCCTGGAGCATGCGCGGCCAGAAGCACCCCACCACAGAGGCCACAAATTCCAGGCACTTCGAGAGAAACTCTGGGAAAATATCCCTTAATTGTAGAAGTCCAATTGCAGTAGGAGGTGATCAGTTACAAGGGCTGTATTTCATTACAGATCTAGCCGCAGCTCAATAAATTAAGCAATCACTCAGAATAACATGTTGCCTTAATCCGCTCCCTTGGAACAGTTTCAAGTTGTTTGGTTTTATGTTAGCGCAGCCCTGAGAGGCGACTGGCACTGTCCTGTTGCTCCTCCCTCAATTCATCAGCCGCGCTCTGGAAACAGCTTTGCAGTCCCCTGACTGGCAGGAAGGAGGGTGCCAAGCCAAGCTGGCTTTTTCTTTTTCTTTTTTTTCTTTTTTTTATCAAAACTAGGGCCTTTTGCATCCTCTGGCCTTGATGCCATCCATCCACATTTCATTCACCAACATTTCTGGCAGATCTCTGTAATCAAGACAGAAAGAGAACCTTCAGCCCCCAGTGCTGGGCGCGGAAAGTGGACTCTGGGTGGCTTCTCCATTCTCTTTTTCTCTCTAGTGGTTTATAATCACACAGTAGAATTTTGTTTCCCCTAGAAACTTGGCATCAGAGGTGTCAGCCTGGGAACATATTTGTTTGTATAAATTAAAAAGAAGAATATGTTTTGACCATATTTAAGTTCTGACTGCGCTAAAGAAATAAATACTGGCTTGCACAAGGCTTCTCACTGCAGAGTTCTGGCTCACCTTCCTCAACTTTGCCTTTGTTTATAAAACCCAAACTAACAAGCGCTCTGACCAGCCCATCTCCCCAGAAAGCAGCAGGGACAGCCTGGGGCCCATGGCCATCCTCACCCAGGCCCACACAGAAAGTCCACTTACCTCACTGGGAATCCGCTTCCCCTGCCACACTGTGCCCTTCTGGGGTGCAAAAGTATGTCAGAACCAGGCACCCTCACACACACGAGGCTGAGGGGCTTGTGAATCGTAGCCTGTTTGAGGGGCACTGGGCAATCGCTGTAGAAATCCAAAATACGTTTATCCTCCGATGGAGAAATTCCACTTCTAGGAATTTGTCCTACAAAGTGCAGTTGGCCATGTGCCAAAGTGCGTATGCACGCTAAAGGCAAAATCCTGGAGTTAATGCAAACGTTGGCCAGCAGGGGCCAGGGTAAGTAAGCGCAGTGGGATGCTGGACGTGATTGAAAAGAGTGATGTGGGTCTGAGAGGTGTTCTGTCCTCAGGGTGTATTGTGGCACCCTTAACCTCCTCAGCAACAGCCCCGTGACTTTGACCACGCTTACAACACGTACAAAGACTGTGAAAACTGCACACAGTGGTTACTTCTTAGAAAGTGAGGTCAAAGCTACAGAAAAATTGCAAAGGGACCCCTTTATTTCTTTTGTTTTTGCTTTTTTTGGTACCGGGGATCGAACTCAGGTCCTTGCACTTTTGAGGCAGGTGGCAGAACCCCTGAGCTAAATCCCCAGCCCTGCCTTTATTTCTTATCTTACTCTCTCTTGCATTATTTTTCTTACCATAAGTAAGATATCATTTTTTAAATCTGGGTAAGGGCTGAGGATGTGGCTCAGTGATAGAGCCATCCTAGCACATGTGAGGTGTTGGATTCAGTACCCAGCACTCCAAAAAAGAAAAAACATAAAATGGTGTGATAAAAATTATTTCCATTTCTACACTCGGAGATTGAGCAAAATAATATAACAATGTTCTTTTTATTACCTGCTTGTCAGGACAGTGGAGTGGTGGAAGAGGTCTACCCAGCTGATTGCTGTTTTGCTTTTGCCCAGTCCATAGGCCCTTAAGTGCAGTAGGTAGCAAGTGGCTGAACGAATGAGTGAACTCCCCTTGGCCAACAGGAGAGCTATGCTGTCCTTCCTGTTCTCACCAAGGCCCACCCCTGGCACCTTTTGCCGTGTACTGTATACCCTTTCATGACAAGACACTTGATATAATGCACCCTGGCATCATCCTGAACCATACAGGGGGCTCTGGATCTTTGGTGTTGGAGAAGATTATGAATCCTTGGGCTGAGCCTAGGTAAACACGGAGTAGGAGGCACCTGGGTTGGTGGGAACTGTGTCTGAGCTGGGAGGAACTGGTTGCCATCAATGGCAGCCATGTCTACCATGGCCACCTGCTACTGTTGGGCACCCTGGGTCCCTACAGCTCTGGGCTGTTTGGAACCCAGCGGGTGTCTGCTCTTAAGACTGCAGCCCTATCTTTTGCAGGGATATCAGAGTACACTCAGAACCCAGGACAAAATGGAGTGGCCAAATAAAACAACCGTGAGCTCTCAAGGAAGAAGGCATACAACAAACGATTATTGTTTTAAGTGCTTATAACCCCCATGTCAGCTGGGGTCATCTTATTTTTGGAGATTAAAATGAAATGGGTTTACATCTTGCCCCATATGCTACACCATTCCCAACTTCCCTTGGAACCTTCCCAGAGATTGAGGGTGAGGGGTGTTTATGTTGCTCCCAGTATCCAAGGTTCTAAATTGCTGCATCTGCTGAACCAGTTCTGCTTGGGCACCTTTTCGCTGGTTGAAGGGCTGGGCTGACATCATGGGCAGAGAACCTATACAGCTACATGAGGCCCATGCTTGATTTAATGCTCTGCCATCTTTAACTTCTTAACAAAGAGTTCCACATGTTCCTTTCACCCAGATCCTGCAAATTGTATAGCTAATCCTGCCTCACTCAGGGGCTGCTCCCCTCCCACACCATGACCACTCTGGAGTCTGACCAACTCCTCCATTCCCCCAAATTCCATTCACACAAGAATGTGGCTATGGGCTACTCCAAATGAAGGTTTGGGATAAAAGAAAATGTTGGCCTCTCAGCTGGGACAACATGAAATGCAGTGCCTGAATAAGATACTCAGTGGGAGACAAAGGAAGAGAGAAGGCAGAGGGAAAAAGATAGGCAAAAGGCTGATCATTGTCGAATCTGGACAATGGGTACCTGGTGCACATTACGAAAGTTTCTCTACTCTCAAGTACAGTGGGAAATGTCCCAAATACAAAGTTGAAAGAGGTGGTTCCACCAAACGTTAAACATTGAGCTGTTGCATGACCCAGCATGTCCACTCTGAGCTATATGCCCAACAGAAATGTACGTCTGCACAAGAACATACGTGAATACTCATAGCTGCATTATTCCTAATAGCCCCAGAGTAGAAACAGCCCATCAGTTGCCAAATGGAGAAACAAAATATGGTCCGTCCATCCATACGTTAGGTTGATGCTCAGTCATGAAAAAGAAAGAAGTCCTCATACATGCTACAACATGGCCGGACCCTGGCAATATCAGACCCTAAACAAGAAGCCGGACCCAAAGGACCCAAGGCTGTTTGATCCCATTTATAGGAAATGTTCAGAAAAAGCAAATTCACAGAGACAGGAAGTAGATTCATGGTTGCTTAGGGTTGGCGGCAATGGAAGATTGGGGTGGGCAGGATGACTGCTAAAGGGCATGGGCCTTCTTTTTGAGGTGATGAAAACATTCTAAAATTTATTGATGATGGCTGCACAATTCTGTTAATATACTCCAAGCCACTGAATTGTGCTTTTTAAATGTGAATGGTACACACCTATAATCCCACCACTCTGGAAGGCTGAGGCAGGAGGATCACAAGTTCAAACCCAGGCTGAGCAACTTAGTCATTTAGCAAGACCTTGTCTCAAAAAAATAAAAAAAATAAATAAATGAAAGAATAAAAATGAAAAGGGAGGGGAAGTAGCTCAATATGCAGCCCCTGGGTTCAATCCTCAGTACTGGGGAAAAAAGTGAATTGCCTGTTAAGTAAATTACATCTTAATAAAGCTATTTTTAAACATCATGCCCTCTTCCCCACTCTCTTGGTATGCTCCAGCCTCCTTGGTACCCTATGGGGAAATTCTCCCTCTCTCTCCTACGCACACACACACACTCACTGTCTTCTTATGCTTTAAATTTCTTTCTTTCTTTCCTTCCTTCCTTTTTTTCTTGCTCTTTCTTCCTGGTGGTGTTGGGAATGGAACCAAGGGCCTTACACATGCTAGCCAGGTGCTCTACCACAGGTTTATACCCAGGCCTACTCCTCCTTCTCATCTCAGAGAAGTGCCTTCCCCAGCAAAAGCGTCCCACTGAGGTCTTTCCCTAAACCACAACACTTTCATCTTTAAAAGTTAATCGGGGGCCATGGAGGTGCAACCCTGTAACCCTATCTACACAGGAGACAGAGGCCAAAGGATCACAAGTTCAAAAATTTTTCAAAAGGGCTGGGGACTTCACTCAGTATTCCCTAGGTTCAATTCCCAGTACGGGGTGGGGGGGTGGTAATCAGGGAGCTGAGGGTGTAGCTCGGTGGTGTAACATGTCAGCATATGTGTAAGACCCTGGATTTGATCCCCATCACCACACACAAAATAAAGTGCCTCAATTGACAACTACTAAAATTTCAATTTAAAAACCTCAGGATGTTTTACAGGAGCAGTCACTAATAGATTAAGTTCCAAGAGTTTCAGAATTTCCACAAGGAAGGCAGACTCAACTTACCTTCTCCACACACAGCAGCTGTCCGCTCTGGCATGGAAATAAGTCACCTCACAGGTCGGGAAAGAACACTGCCAGGGTCAAGTTTGTGTTGATCTAACTGAAAGGCAGCCTTTCGGTTTGGAACAAGGGTTGGCAAATGGGCTATAAGCCAAATTTGGCCTGCTTTCTGGTTTTATAAATAAAGTTTTATTGTAACACCAAGCCATAGCCATCCATTTGTGTATTGTTTAGGGCTACTTTTGACTTACATCTGCAGAGCTGAGCAGCTGCAAGTCTTTGTAGCCTGCAGAGCCTCAAAGAGTTACTCTCTGGCTTGACCCAGGTTTGAACCCCAGCTTGTCACATGCTAGGTATGTGACCTTGGACAAGTAAGGTCATCTCTCGAAGCCTGTTTCCTCATCAGAGAGCTGGGGCCAGTAGCAGTACCTCTCATGTCTGTTGCTTGTGCAACTGAAATGACTTCATACAAGTCAAAAGTGCCTCAGACAAAGAAAGAGCTCAATATATGTTGGTGGGTATGATGTTATTTAGACAATGATGACGACAATGGCTTCATGGCTTGTCATCTAAAAGGATGGATTAGGCTTGTGAAAAAGGCTGGCGAAGAACCGTATGTGTTTATTATTATAAATGCCCGAAAGGCTTTTGAAATAGCTCTCTGCTTTTAGTAATATTTATACTTTCAGGTTTTTGAGAGTGTAGATGAATTTTAATATCAGAGGGAAAATGATCTCATTTCACACTTCCAGAAGCCGTGACCCCTGACCTCCAGCTGGGTCTTGAACCTGCTCAGCCTGAGAACCCTAGTATTCTTTTGGCTAGACCCCGCCTCTTTCCCAGTGCAGGCCTCTGAAATGCAGGTCTCCATGGTCTGGGTTGCCTCTGAACCCTGAAGCAGAAGCTGTTAAAGAGTAAGCAGGCTTGGGCAAGGGGTAGGAGAATCTCCACACCCTCAGGGGCTCTCCGGAGGCCAGCTGGGGTGGCCAGGACTGACACCGCACCCGTCACCTACTTCCCTGGAAGGGTCATGGAAGTAGGAGACACAGCGGCCCCAAATCTTTGGCTTCAGTTCACTACTATTAACTGAGCACCTAATACAGGCCAGGATCTGAAGGTCTGGCAGGAAGGAGACAAGGCTTCTACCTTCAGCTGCCACCCCTGGCAGCCTTCTCCTGGGGACCACAGACAGACAAACAAGCATTTGGGTTATCCGGCCTGTGATAAGTGTTCATAGTCTCCTGGGAATTTCAGTTCCATTACAAAGCACTACGAGGTATAATAAAAAAATATACAGTGAACATTTAAGTTGGGGGTAGTGATATTTTTTTTGTTTCGTTTTTTGATGAATCCCCATCAAAATCTACCCATCCATTTGAACACATTTATTCCATCCTTCCTGCCACTTTCTGAAGCAGTTGTGGGAGTCCTCCTTCAGGAGTGTCTTTGTGATAAAAATACAGTGAATGCTGCTCCCAGAAAGGCAGGCTCATAAAAACATCATGGGGAGGCCTCATCCACCTTGTGCACTGCATTTGGCACTCTTGGCTCTTCCCCAAAGTCAAAATGACCGCGAAAGTTAAACATTTTGAATAGACGCAGAACACTGAGATTGGCAGGGCAGCACAACTAAAGACATAACCGAAGACCTCAGAACTGCTTCAGGAAGGGGCCAGAAAAGTGGGATTCAGTGTGTTTGAAACAGGGGCAGTATTCTGAGGGGGGTTAATGGCAGTGTGTCTTTTACGGTAATACTGTAATTTTTTAAAAAAGGAAACATCGTATTTTTTGGTCACAAGTCTCATATGTTGCTAAATTGGAAAATTACTCTGCACCCAGCTGTGCGGCTGGTTGATGTCAGTAGTTAAGAGGTTCAGCATAAGTAACATCAAGGCAGGATTAAAGATGTACGAGCCCTTTTGTTCGGAAGGGTTAAGAATTTCAAGGTGACGGTTGCAGAGTTGGAAACAAGAGTGGAGCCCTTCCTTGACAAGTGGCCCTGAGTGTGGGTGCGGACCGCATCTCCAACACAGCTCTCTGGAGGCCTGAGCCTGTTCCCTCATCCTCTTACCTCAGTGAGGACCCTGAGGGCCGGCTGTGACTGTGTCATGTGTGGCAAGGGGGACCAGCTCAGCCATACATACTCCCAGCGCTCTCAGCGAGCTCTGAGGGGTGGATTTCATCGTCTAGCAGTCTGCGTTCATTGTTCTTCTGTAACGGCTAAGGCATACGGCACCGCCAGCGCTGTTCTGTTCTTCACGGCAGCCCATGTATTTCATTCTCACCACAGCTCTGAGTGCCCCTTGTAGTTCTAGTACCTATAGATGAGGAAACTGAGGCACGGAGAGAAGTCTCCTGCCAGAGGCTGCACAAGCAGCCAATAGAAGAGTCCAGATTTAAACACAGGACAGCTGGTCCCAGTCTGTGCGCTTAGCTTGCTGACTCCCAGGGCCACGCAAGACCCCAGGCCTGAGCTCGGTGGTGTTCAGCACGGAATTTTCACCCTAACAAGGGATCCTCCACCCCTTTGTTTGCTCGCTTGTCATCCTCCCTGGCTCCACTGAGACCCCCACGGGGGGAGGGGCTACATGACCCTCACCACTGTCACGCCAGCCCCTGGCACGGTACTCAGGACACGGCAGGTCCCCAACAGACATCTGTGCAACCAACGCGAGTAGGAGGCTGGTGTCCAGCTGGGCCATCCGATCCAGTATCAAGTCACAAGTCTTAAGATTTTGACCCTGTGTGGCTTAAAATTTTGTTTTGAGGGTGTCCCCTCCAGCCCAAGGATCCAGGCAGCCAGCTCCTGGGTTTTCTCCGCCGGGGTGCTCCCACTGTGCTTGTAGTGGGAGGTAAAAAGAAGCGCCCTGGGGCCCAGCTCCCATCCTGGCAGGCTGCAGGGCTGGGGCGGGGCTCTGGCAGCTGGGCCCGCAGCTGTCCGCTGGCTCTGCCCCGGCCAGGCTGGCCAGCAGGGCCCCTCCACCACCCCACGCCCCATGACACAGCAGAAAGTGAAACACGAGTCGCCCCTCCTGGTGGGGTCTGGGAGCCCACCGGAGCTGACCCCCTAGCCCAGCACTGCACGGCCCGCTGGACAAGGGCGCCCCCCGCCATGCCCCACCTGCTCCAGGGCCCCTGGCACCTGCTGCCCCCTGAGCCGGTGCCCTGTTCCAGAACTCTCCCTGCTTCGTGGTGAGGCTCCCCAACCCCCTGATCTCATTCACAGGGCGTTTCTTCTCCCCATTTCCCTGAGCAAACAGGCTCAGAGAGGTGAGCCATCGGGGAAGGAGAGCACTGGGTCACTGTGACCCCAGGGTGGAGGTAAATGGGGTCTACGGATGGGGGGAGTTGGGGAGGGCCTCTGGTGTTGGGACCCCAAGGACAACACAGGACACAGCATGGGTTTAACTGGCAACTTACTCCCCCCACCATCAACTAAGGGTACAGAAAACCCCTAAGAGAAACACGAACTCTTTCTAAAAAGTGGGCCCATGAAACTTTACAAACTGTTGTCTCGATTTTGGTCCCATCCTCAGGCCACCTGCCATAATTTGCTTTGCATTTCTCTTTCAAGAAGGAGACTCATTTCTTACCCACATAAATTGATTTCGACAGAAAAGGAGACATATCCCCCCTATAGGGAACACCAACCTATTGCCATAAATAGAAATCAGCCATGCAAAGAAACACCTATTTAAGAAATTTTTATCTTCAGCCAGGTACCTCTGAAAGTCATAGAGCAGATGTGCATAAGAGATTTGGGAAACTTCTCATCCAAGCTGTGGGTGTCATGCACGAGGCACTGGAGGCCCAGAGAGGTTGAGTCACATCCCTGGGGCAACACAGCAAGAGTCACAGATCGTAGGCTGGATCATAAGCATGGCTGCTTCCAGAAACCCAGGCATACTGCTGGACTGTGGTTTCCCCATGTGTCTCAGTGGCCTCTGTGTATGAGTGAATATCGTATTAATTAACGCATTACTCATTTTCTAGGCACCTTTTGAGTTGTACACCATTCGAGCCCATTATAACACTGGATGCATCCAGGAACTCTTTGAGGCTAGAGCAGGGGGTGTTGCCCCTCCCATGGCT